TCCTTGAGGACATCAGTTTATGAATTTATATATATAATTATATATATAGTACAGGTAATAAATCCATTGGTATATAATCCAAGTAGATCCTAGTAATATACAATACTAAAACTGATCTACAAAAAGAGTTCAAAGTATTTATTATAACAGGTCATATAAATTACACAGCAAAATGTAAAATTACCTCATATGGGTAAGTTGTATAGATCTATTTCAACCAACGAGAAGTACATTAGTCTTATTCAACGCCTGTGTATAGACTGTGTTCGTGTCGGAAGTAGAAATTTTACAATTTAACTTTGACAGCAGTCGAAAAATTGATACAGAATTTATCCATTTCGATGTTTCACTAAGACGAAATGCCCGAGTCGGTGTTAAAGGGAAGGTTGAAGGTATTAGCTTTAAAAGGAAAGAGGTTTTATAAAATTAACCCGGATATTAACCTTATGACATTAATTTAGGGTTATATAAAAAAGGTTTTGTTAAACTGAAACGAAAAGAAGGCCGAAAAGGGAGTTTTATATAATAAAAAATGTAATTATATATATAAAAAAAACTTATGATCCTACTTAAAAAATAACAAACTATAATTAAAAATGAGATATATTAGAAAGATTAACAATACATCATATTTAGATAAATTATATTAAATTTAAGTAAGAATAAAATTTCAAAAATGTTATATTAAAGAATAAAAAATATTAAGATAAATTAAATTACTCGTTTTTAACTTTAAAGAGAAGTTAAATCAAGTTATATTAAAAATCAAACCATACCAAGTTATAAAAAAAAAATTAAAAAACATTAAATATATAGATAGATAGATAGATAGATAGATCGATAGACAGATAGATAAAGAAGTGTAAGTCATAAAAGAAAAATAAAGAGTTCTTAGAACAGGAGATAATTGTACGATGTAATTAATATGGTGAAGAAATGTAAATATAGAAATTAAAAATATTTATACATTCAATATTTGAATAGTCAGAGAATGAAAAAGTAATATATATTATAGAAGTTTAAATCTAACTCTATGTCGACATTTCAAAACTAATTCATTCCTTCGATTGTTGTATTTTATTCTGATTTTTCTTTTTTTTATATATATATATATATATATATATATATATATATATATATATATATATATAGTGTGTTTCTGCAGAAAAATTCTCTCTCAAACATATATTGTTAAATAATATGACAAGTTTTCTCTATTAATTTTTTTAAATCATTCAATGTATTTTTGTCTTATCGGTAAATATATATATATATATATATATATATATCATATAAATTATGTGACAAGATACAAGACGCGTGAAATAGACATTGAAGAGAACGAAATTATTTCCCAAAAGTTGTCTTTAACGGCCGGTCACTACTTTCATGAATACACCAAGCACGCTTGTGGCGATATGAAACTGGCATTGTATCAAATTATGTCGGTTACATGAATATTTTGAAATGGCGTATTCATGAATCATGGTGGCTGAATGGACACATTTTGGGCAATAATATATATATATATATATATATATATATATATATATATGCACATTTTATTGAATACGGCGGACAAGGTGCTTTGATTTAGTTTTTTATACAATTTATCATGCGATCTTTTTCCTTTTTGGATGATAAATTATATAAAAACTGTCCGAATGTTCTTTTTGTCTGAGCGCTTTCGGCTATACATTTAGCCATTTTCAAGGATTAAATATTTTAACTATTAAAATAAGAAATAGTTTGTTGTATGTATGTTTTCTAAAATGTTTTCATTTTTCAAAAAACGGTCAAGATATTGAGTCCATGTCCACATTTAATACTATTAAGTGTTGTTTTTGTGTTTCTATAAATAAAGCTTCCATTATTTTTAGCCTTTTTATATATATATATATATATGTGTGTGTGTGTGTGTGTGTGTGTGTGTGTGTGTGTGTGTGTGTGTGTAAAAAAATAGGAACGAACACGTTAGGTAAATAATCCGGAAATCTTTATATTTTTGTTTTTATCTTTAAAAAAAAACAGTGCTCCATAGAGAAGTAGAGCTTAAATTATAATTATTCTTTTAAAAAATATGATTCCTTCGTTACATAAGAGTTCTCATGTTTCAAAAACAAGAGCCGAAAACCTCAATATAATTATTGAAATTAAATTGAGTTAAAGTATCAAGCCCTGTTTCATCCTCAAGCGAAAATTTAGAAATAACCAATCTTGAAATTTACGCATTGTTATAAGCATTTTCATTCGTTACTATGGAAACGGCGAGGGCGATCATTTTAATAAGGGGCCTAAGAGTTAATTTCTTTAAAAATAATTATAATATATATATATATATATATATATATATATATATGTGTGTGTGTGTGTGTGTGTGTGTGTGTGTGTGTGTGTGTGCTATCATATATGTTATCATTCCATAACTGATAAGTGACATCCATTAAACATGGCACGTGGAACTAGAACAATCTACTCCATTGAACGAAATAAAGTGTTCAGTACGGCATTCCAGCAACCTGAAGAAGGCCGGAGCGTACAAGGCCGAAACGTTGTAATAAATATGGCGACAAAGATGAGGATAATAGACCAAATAATGTAAATAGTGTACATAATACCTCATCTCAGAAATATAGACAGTTACTGAAGGGCCGAAACGTTGTAATAAATATGGCGACAAAGATGAGGACAATAGTCCGAATAATGTAAATAGTGTATATAATACCTCATCTCAGAAATATAGACAGATACTGAAAGGCCGAAATGTTGTAATAAATATGGTAACAAAGATGAGGACAATAGTCCGAATAATGTAAATAATGTACATAATACCTGATCTCAGAAATATAGACAGATAATGAAGGGCCGAAACGTTGTAATAAATATGGTGACAAAGATGAGGACAATAGTCCGAATGATGTAAATCCGTAATACCTCATCTGGATTTTTTCATAAATGATGAAATAATGGATTTGAAAGAATGTGCATTGATGCCTACAAGAATTTTTTTTTTTTTTGTCAATACCAAAAAAGACCCCGATAATATAGGACACAATTATTACACGATCACTACCCACACTGATAACCATTTTGATCAATTCTTCCTTGGCAATAGCTTCTAGTTTCTCCAAACTTGAAGAACATCTTTCTCGTACATTTTCTTCAAATATTCCCATCAACTTTCAATTGGGGTTTGGGTCAGGACTTTGTGTGGGGTACGCCAATATCTTAATTTTCCTGTCATTTAAGCATCTTGTAACAATTCGTGCTTGTGTTTCAGGTCATTGTAATGTTGGAACGTCCATTGACACCACAAAGACAGCTTTCATGCACTTTATGTTATTGAACAGCCAAATAATGCTCTTTATCCATGATACCCTGCACTCTCCATAGTGGTCACCTGCTCCAGAAGAAGCAAAACATCTCAAGTGTAGAATGCTGCCATTACTATGCTTAATTGCATAGAGGGTATTTGGTTTGTGAGATTTATTCACTTTCCTCCATACATAACAGGAGTTCATGTGAGCAAATAATTCTAGTTTGGTGTCATCTGATCATAAAACAGTGTTCCAATATTTAATCACAGATGGCTTTTAGCCTAAGCTAATCTGAATTTTCGTTGTTTAGCCTTAAGGAAGTTTTCCTTGGGTGACAGGCTACTAGTCCTGCTCGATGAAAGCATCTAGTGACTGTCTTCGTCAATACATTCAACTCTGATGTCTTTACATCATTGACAATGTCCTTTGTCTTTAAGTGAGGATTCTTCGAGACATTTCTAACAATGTTCATCTCAATTCTGTCAGAAATTAACAGTTTCATTAAGAGCTTGAAAATTACTTTTGCTTCGGGAACGAAGTTAGGGTGAGCAGGAAATTGGAAATGTCCCAACAAGAATTGACCGTTTCTGAAATGGAATAATAGAGCTTTGCTTTACTAGGATGGCTTTCCGTAGCCTAATCGTAAGTCATACCTAAGACAATTTCTAGTAATCGATTTATTGGTGGGTAGATGTTTCTTTCAACTATATATACAGGGTGTCCATAAAGTTCTTGTGGACTTTAAAAAATTTATAACTTTATTTGTATTTGCGATAGAAATAATCTGTAAAAAATGTTATAAAGTTTAATGTACCTAGTTTTAAGTATAGCTAAAATAACTAATGTGATTTCAGGTATTGCTGTAAATCAGTTGGCAAATGTTTTTCTGTGAACTGCAAAATCGTATTACCCTTTGTATTGCTAATGATGGAGGGCATATGGAAACTTAATTAAAATTTCAATAGAACGTTTAAAAAATATAGATTTACTTCTTTCTAATCCTTTTTTACAGATTATTTCTATCGCAAATACAAATATTTATAAATTTTTAAAGTGCACACGAACTTTATGGACACCCTGCATATATATGGAATACTTTTGCCATATATGTTCTGTAGCCCCGCTGTTTGTCTGAAGGTCCTCGACAGAATCAAGAGACGTATATGCAATATGATCGGTCCTGATCCGGCATCTCGTTTACAGTCACTTTCTCACTTCTCGTTTACGTCGCTTTCCTCTTTCTTTTTTACGAATAATTTCACGGTAACTGCTCCGACGAGCTACTCTCGCTGGTTCCCAGGCTGCATGAAGTTAAACGTGCTACTAGGTTGGCATCTCGGTCCCACACTTTCACTGTCCAGACTGTTAAAGGTTAAATGTCTCTTCTACTCCAATAGCTTCATCTCGCGCACTTCGCGTCTGTGGAACTCCCTTCCTCTTACGTGCTTCCCTGATAGCCTATAATCTTCATATATTCAACTGTAATGTCAATCGACATCTTCTGATGCTTTGATCTTGATCCCTGTCCTTCTCTTTATCCCTTTCCCTCTATCACCCCCCTCTTTTTTCTTGCTACCAGTCTCTGTAACCCCTTGCGTCATAATGACATTCCTGCCATGCTTGGGGTGAAATGCTCAAAATACACGCACGCACACACACACACACACACACACACACACACACACATAGATAGATAGATAGATAGATAGAGAGAGAGAGAGAGAGAGAGAGAGAGATAATCGCCTAAAAAATAGTGATAGTGACATTCCTGCCTTCTTTGGGGTGAAATGCTCAAAATACACACACACACACACACATACACATACACACGAGAGATAGATAGATAGATAGATAGATAGATAGATAGATAGATAGATAGAAAGAATCGCCTAACAAAGATTTTAGTTTTGCAATTTTTTTCCTTTTGGGAGACAATGACTTAAAAATTAAAAACTTATGATTTAACATTAATTCTAAGACTAACGCGTATGTACAATTTGCAGGCATGAATTAGTTTTTCCCTCAGGTTGTTTTTCTCAAAGGCATTTCTTGAAATATTACATTATTTTTTTTAACTATATTGTTACATTCTTATGCTGCCTTTTCTTTCTCTTTTCTTTCTTTCTCTTTCTTTTTCTTTTCTCTCTTTCTCTATTCTCTCTCTCTCTACCATAATCTCTTCTCTCGATACACTTATTCCTTATCGTTTTTCTCTTTCTATATTTTTCTATAACTCTTTCTGTCTCTCTTTCTGTGTTTCTCTCACATGGTTACACATAATTATTTCCTCTTACTCTTTCTCTCTCTTCCTATCTCTCACTTATTGTCTCTTTCTTTCTCTTTTCTCTCGCACTATTTATTTTGCCTTTTTCACTTTATTTTTTTTTCTTGATCTCACTCATTTTTTTCTATTTTTCTACTACATTTGCCAACTGATTACGTTGTTTGATTGTTAATATTTCCATGGCTGAAATTGCCAAAGACTTAAATTGTTCAATCTGAAAGAAAAAGAAATAATCATTAGACACTTAAATTTAATTCACATTTAAAATCGGTCCAAATTATTGGAACACCCTCCACAGACGTGTACATATGCACCCACCCAGGCATATCCACATATTAGGGCCTTCTTCTTCTTGCATACTTGTACATACATGTACACATATACAGAATGCGATGGGTAAATTGTCACCATTTTATATTATTAATTTCGCTTGTTTTTGATTTTGTCGACTGCCCAGTATAGGAGGGGGAAAAGGACCGCAGTTCACTCCGCCAGAAATTTGGAAACGGCACGCTGTATTACTTGGCATTCGCGCCGGAAGCTCCAATACGAACATTGCAGAATGTTTGGGTGTCAATCTGAACACAGTGTAGATGATTAGGAAAGAGTTGGATGAGTCTAATGGTGATTACGAAGGTACAGCAGCTCGCAAAACTCACTCTCATCGTTCTGATAAGAAAAAAAAACTTTCGAATTTGTTGGTGAGTGCCTCACACCCAACACGGGGGTCTAAATCAAGTGCCTTGTGTGGGTAGCAGTAGTGCTGTCCTGGGTAAATTGAAATTGCCAAAAACTTGTTGTTAAATCTGAAAGAAAAAGAAAAAAATCATTAGACTCTTAAACTTAATTCCCATTTAAACTCGTTTATGGAACCACCTTATATACAGGGGGGGTCCAAATTTAGTATTAACTGTTTAAATATTAATAGTTCATAATTCATTTTCTTTATATATGGATGAAAATCTGCAAAACAGATGGATTGGAAAAAGAGGGACAGTTGAATACCCATGAAGATCACCAGATTTGACACCCTTGGATTTCATTTCATTTAAAAGACAAAGTTTACAGCAGGAAACCTGAAACAATTGCTGAAATGAGAGTAGCAACTGAAGAAGAATGTGCTCAAATACCAGAGGAAATGATACTGGACATTTGTAGGTCTATTTCTTCAAGATATGAAAAGTGTATTGAACAGAACGACAACCAATTTGAACACTTGATGTGAACTCATCATTATATGAACATTCTGCCATTGCCCCAAATACCTTTATCTTAATAAAGTTATTTTTCTATGTTTTTTTGTATATTTTACTCTCAAATTCTTTAAATGTGGATTCTTTCTCTTGTATTAATCTTATTTCCAACTCAAAATACAGGAATTGAATAAGTTATAACAATTCAAAGAGTGTATAGATAATTTTGGGACACCCTGTATATATATATGTGTGAGTATATATATATATATATATATATATATAATTATTTATTTAAAAATATGATTCCAAATCGCTACATAAGAGGTCTCATGTTTCAAAACTATTTTTTAAAAATAATAACTAAAATACTAAGGGACTTTGGATTATTTACCTAACCAGTTCCTTCCTATTTTCTATATATTTTCATATATATATATATACACATATATATATATATATATATATATATATATATATATATTGGGTTGGATTGATGTGAGTTTGTGTTCCTGGGTTCATGCTCTCTGTAATCGTCAGCCAAACTTATATATTATTATATATATATATATATATATATATATATATATATATATATATATATATATATATATGATAGAAATTAAGGAAGATTTGAGATAATCATAATTAAGTAATTCATCATATTCAGTGGTGGAACTCATCCGAGTTTCCCTTAACCATAGGA